TTCTATATCTCTCCCTCTCTCTGCTCTGCTTTCAGGCTTCACTCCTGCTTCATGGTGTAGGAGTGAACCCTGTTACTGATCCAGTAGCTTTTATTTTTGGAACTCCTCTCCTCTCTCACATGCTCTCACATCCCCTTCTGTGTTTTCCGGTGCTGCTGATTGTCATTATCCAATTCTCAAAGCCACATTGACCAAAATCAGTAAGCAAGGATCAACACTGAGTGAAAGGAGGAGGAGGAGGAGGTGGAGGGTGGTGGGGGTCTTCTTAGGTTTCCTTGCAGCTCCCTGCATTAGTAATAGAGGTAGTTGCTGCCGTCGCTTGTGCAGATGCTGGCTGCAAAACATCCCCTTTGATTTGATTTGGTTTTCTTCCGTCCTCTTGAGGAAGAAATTGTTTTTTGGTGTTTTTTGTTGCTTTTTTGGTGAGAAAACCTGTTGCGTCTCAAGAGGACTGACAGCAGCACAGGAAGGATCTCACATTTTCTTCTGTGAGTTTGGAAAAAAGGAGAAAATCTTTTATATTCACAAATATATTTCTCATTTCCATTGTGTTGTTTTTGTTTTACATCTTCATGAGTTGATTTTCTTGCAGGTTTCTATTTTACTTTGCACAATTATGATCACATCTTGTTTGAAGTGATTTGTAAATGAAAAGTAAGCAGGTCGTGTGTTTTTAAGTCAGCATAATTGATGATATTGATATTTTGTTGCTTTCTAGTGTAAAAGACTTTCAGATTTCAGTTCTGTGTTTTAAATTGTAGTCATGCTTCCTTTTGTTTATATTTGGACTACATATTCTACATCTGTTATCTAACATTCCTCAAAGAAATTCAACTAGATTTTGTTTGAATTTCAAAAAGCAGAGGCTTTCCCTCACACCTCCATATGAATTCTACATTTCACTTATCTTCTCCATATTTGCATATTACAGTTTTTTTCCTTGAGTAGCAATTTTTTAATGATATGACTTATTCCCGTTTTGTGTATCTACTGGTTAGTTCAGTATACATACATAGGTTTACACTACTAAGACATACAAGACATACAAAAGATAATAAAAACATGCAGTTTGTTTATAACAGATGTTAAAGAAGGCCTAAAATATGTAAATTTACAATTAAAACTGTGTGATAATTGGATTTTCACTGTCGTATTAATAAGTGTTCATTTCAGCGGATCAGGTGCATTAGTAGGTAATTATTGCAAAATGTGTCATGTCTTTCCCCATTAAATCCAGAGCACAATGAAGATGGCTACAGCTGCTAAGATCCTCATCAACCTGCTGCTGATTCTTCACTCTAGCAGAGGTGGGTGGCTCTGAGTGCCATTGAATTCGTAACAAACCAGATATCTGATCTCTTAAAAGCCTTTTTCAAGCATTGCTCATAATCACGGAAAGGTTTTTACTTTTACTGCTGTGGTCTTCTCGTGTCAAGAGACGTCAGATATAGATAGAGATGCAGACATAATTCCCAATGTCAATCATATAGTGACATACTGTGTTAAACTTGTTTTAACTTTATTAGTATCCATAGTGCCATATATTTACTGTAAAGCATTAGAAGTTTCACATAACATGCCCTTTTTAACATAGTTCTTACATTTGCTCGCCTCTTGTTATTAGTAGTAATAGTAAGTCAAGTCAGTTTTATTTATATATGATATAATACTTTTAAAAATAAGACACCTTCTATGCTTAGACCCTCAATATACAAAAGAGAGAAAACCACAAACGCTTTAACGGGAAGCATAAACACAGAGTTAACAGCCATGCTACTCAGGAAAACGCTAACATCAGTATGCTAAATTACACACAATGACAATGCTACCATAGCAGGTATAATGTTTCCTTCACCATCTTGATTTAGTGTGTTAGCATGCTAACTTTGGCTAATTAGCACTAAACGCAAAGTAGGCCAACAGCTGAGGCTCATGGGAATGTCATTCATTTTGCTGGTATGTACATATTTTCATTTGGCTGACAGATTTGTCCTAAAATGTGGTTTATTAAGCTTAAATTTACATTTTTTATTTAATTTATAGTATTTTAGGAATCATGCATGACTGATATTTATTAAAATAAAAAAGTTTTAAAAGTCACATATCCCTTTCAGTGCTCCAAAGTACCCCTAAGGGTACACATACCCCCATTTGAGATATACTGATCTCATAGATGTCTATGATTTGCAGATCATAGTTAACAAGTGTAGGTGAGCATTAGTGACTTAATGCCACATTTTGGACCATAAACCAAAAAATTGGACAAACAAAATGTTGGACCTGATGATGCCACTAGATAAAAAGTCAGGGGATCCCCAAAGTCAAAAGTATTCATCCTCACAATGAATGTTTGTACCTATTTTTATACCAATCCATGCAAATAGTTGGTGAAGCATTTCATTAAAAATCACAAATGTCAATGTCACAGTGGCTTTAAAATGAAACCAGGGTTATTAGGATACATCATGTGTGAACCATGCATTTCTAACATCTGGTGCCAATTAATGTTGGAGATGTTACGATATTACACCACCTGATTTTGGCACTAAAGGTAAAGTCATAGGATCAACAAAGTCCTTCAAGGCACCATGAATGTCTGTACAAATTCTAACAGCAGTCCATCCAGTAGCAGCTGAGATATTTCATTCAGGACCATTGTGGTGGAAGAAGCAACCGACGGATGGATGCTGCCATCCATTGAGCCACACTGTCAACATGTCTGAGAATATATAGTGTCCTAACAGTTAACTAACACAAACCCTCATGTGAAATGGACGATCAACACAAAAACACTCTTTGGAATTAATCCCTCTGTCAATTATAAGTTGTATTCTTCTCATTCCTGCAGCTACCTGACAGTACATATGAAATGCAATTATTTTTTTATGCCTCTACAAGGGACCTGATTAGAAAGATATTCAACTCGCTAAAAATCTGTGGTAAATTACAGGTTTTGTGTCAGTAGCAGTAGCATGAAACATAAAGGGCCTTTTGTGAGACATATTTTCCCCGTGTTGAAAAAAAGAAAAGAAATTCAGCACAGTACAAGAAATTATTCTAGAAATGATGGTTCTGTTGGATTTTCATTTTCTACTTCAATCAAACAGGAGACCCACATTTGAACGTTTCTTTACTGTGCACATTTTACTGGCGGAAAATATACATTTTCAGTTTGTTCTGTCAAGTCTTAATGTCTGGATTTAAAGTCAACAGTTTGTTTTTTAGCATGTTGTACTATGAAATCAGAGCATTGGCGTGTGATTACATGTGCACTTACGACAGTCAGTCAACAGTTTCATCTGCAATAAGCCAGACAGACCTCCACTTTGCTGTAATCTCCGGTCGCCTCTGACTCTCGGTAGGAGCTTATTTAGTACTTCAGATCACATACCTTCGTGACTAGATTAACCTGCTAGAAGGCCCTGGGAGACAAAAGGAGCCTGCTTCACCGTCTGTTTCCTCCCTCTCTCTCTTCATTGTGTAATGCAGCGTTATTTTCAAGTACCCTTCAAATACAGTGATTGAGGGTATCCGTGCGAACACCTCAGAAATGTCAATTAACATGG